GAGCACAGCACTACCATTCAGGGCCCCAGATTCATCGCAGCCATTTCTTCCGAGTTGCAGTTCATACTGCAACAGCACTGGGCTGTGACTTTGATCTCAACATGGCGACAAACAATAAACCTGTAACGAGAGGTACAACTCAGTCGACCTCAGCTGACACGGTACCGACTTCATCTCAAACGTCGCCAGCGCCCATAAGCTTGGCGACAGTCGACATATGTCGACATGAGCAAGAATACGGTCGTGCTGCAGATCAGGGCAACCAGCAAGTGCCACGATTTTGTCGAAAAGCTTTCGGGAGATCTCCTTCTCCAGATAGCGCAATACGGTTTGCACACCTATATCTTCGTGAGCACGATGCCTTGGCCTTGTTGCGAGGCATCAAAGCACTGGCGACCGGCTGTTGGCAGGACTCAGGAACAAAACACAAACACCCCCAAGTGGACCGACCACTCAACATGTCTTTGCCTGTGTGCGAAACCAAAGTGCTACGGCTCTTGACTCTGCGGGCACATCAGATCGCACATCCATACTCAAGCAGAACTTCGGTGGATAGCATTTGCTTGAAAGCCCCTTGCCCCTGCTTCCTACAACATGAAAGGATGCTCTATGTAGCTCTTGGGAGTTGTCCATGAACCAGGACAGTGACTGAAAGTTCTTGGAGAGTCGAGAGTTTTTTGTTCCACTTCGTTTCGAGGTGCCAACATTGGCACCACCTTCACCGCCCTTCTTGCAGCGCTTGCAGAACTGAAACACGCTTCTTGGCTCCGCAGCTTTGGCCGTGTTGTCGCTGTCGTTGCACGAGCGCTGTTCTGAGGACGGCCTGCAAATTGCGTTCTGCCCCGTGCTCAGAGTCTGCGAGTGGTATTTTTTTCAGCATGCCTTTGCTGCCACGATCCTAGCTCAGGTCATTTAGTTTTCAACATCTTTGGCATTCTAGTTTGGAATCTCGGCGCACATTCTCTTTCATCCCAGCGATTTTTTTGCCTTGTCCTCGAGCGGAGGTTCCCCATCCCAGCGATGCGAGACTTGGATCTGCAAGGGGTGCAATGATGAACACAGCTGTGAAGCTCCGACGTTTCGAATCTTTCGAGCAGTGGTGCCCACCCTAGGCGGTGTCGTGGTGGGTGCAGCAAAGCTGCTGGGCGACTCGGTCTAAACGCAAGCGCCGCAAGCTCGTAGGAAAACTTGAAGGTTTTTGTGCTTTTTCGCTTGGGCCGCCGGTCCGGCTTCGTGGGCGCTGCCATGTTCTGCAGGCTTCTATGCCTCCTACTGGCGGATGGTTCCGCTGCTTTACATCTTAATCATGCTCCACGGACGCAAGCTGAAGCTTGTTCCTGTGCAAGAAAAGGGAAGGTAGGTTAAGTCTTTTTGCTGCCTGTTGGGTCCGGCAGTTGTTACAACAGACCATCAAGTGACGCCGAGGTTCCTCGTTGTACCAGGCAGGGCTCTGGCCGCTTGTACTGCAACAGCTGTGTCTCGAAAACACTGGTTGAGGTGTAGCCCTGGGGATCTCGCTGCTTTTCGGCGTGTCCTTGGCAGCCGGCATCACTGCCCTTGCTGCGGCCGGCTGATCTCGACATAGTTGAATCATGTTTCGGCTTTCGGTAGCTAGTGCAAGCTTTCAGCATGGTGCAGGTGGCACAGTTATTTTTTGGTGCAGCTGTCTGGGAGAGTGCAGCGATGTGCCGTGACTGCTACCCTGGACCCACAACTGCAGGCTGTCGTCAGCCTCACCGCTCTGGTGATCTGGTGGAACATGGGCGGCTGCTACCGTGTGGCTTGCCGGCAAGGACTCGCGCTTGAAGCCTTTGTCAAGGCTCCCCAGCTCTCTCAAGCAGACCTTCAAGCACAATCTTGCAATCGGGAGCATTCCTGCTGAGGTCGTTTCTCGCGAGGAAAGAGAGGTGCAGGCGGAGCTCAGGGCGGCACAGAAGGCACAGAAGGCACAAATGGCGGGAAGGGCAAGCAAAGTCTTAGGCTTGCACTTGTGTCTGAAAAAGGCTTCAGTCAGACGGAGCTCTATTTCATGTCTCCAGGCCCAGGTTGACCCAGAACTGGATCCTGTCGCCTTGTGAAGAAGCTGGACGTGTGAAAGGAGCGTGCGAACAGAAGCAAAGTCTAGGTCTAGGGGCTTGCCAGCACGTTAGTCCAAGTTGCACGACCGTGTCCGTAATGGAGCCGGAATGACGATTCTGCCGCAGCAGCTGTACCACTCCGGGCTTCGAGCCCGCAAGACGAAGCCGAATGGCACACTGCGGCAGCTGTCGGCATACCTGGTGGTCTTTGAAAAGTAGGGCATGCTCAAGCATGCATTGCAGGGCTCATGCAGAGTCCACATAATTAGCATTTTCCACGATGTGTCCGTTGAGCTAAGCTCCAACAGACCTTCCCGTAGCAGGCAGCCTCGGATTAGGTTTTCTGTGTTCATTGGAGTCAGGTTGTGGATGATGCTGAGACAAGTGTTATGATTTCCTTGTAGGAACCTGTGATAGGATTGGCTTTCCAATTCTACTTCGGGTTAAGCCAGCATGGTTTGGCGGTTTGGGTGCTCTTGACCCGGCCTTGCCTGAAATCCGATTGCATGTAGAGGCTGTCACAAGAAGCCCTGGTTTCAAGGCACATGTCATAAGCATAGCGTGCCTGCACTTTCACCTGCCCGGGCGAGCGGCCCGGAATGCAGAAAAAGATATCCGGGCTGTAAAGTCACCCCACTGCTACTGGCCTGCTGCCGAACCTTGTGGTGTTGACTGGCGTTGGAAAACCCTTGATCCGAACGAAAACGGCGACGATACTGACCTGAACAGCTGCAGCGACACATCCAACACTTGCAGCCTATTCTGATCTCTGCAACCTGAGATGTTGACGCACAGCGGATCAACCGGATGCAGTAGGTTGGCATGCGCCCAACAGTGATGAAAGCTTGGCTGGAAGTCCAGCTCGTATCGCTGCCTTCACTTCGCTTCGCACAGTTGTTACCCGGATCTCTGTGAGCAGCTTGCAGGTAATACTGTTCGCTGGATCACAAGTCTTTCGGGGTGCGTGCTCGAACTCTCCCACCTACTAGTCACCAGCAAGTCGACTTGCACACACTCCAGTTCGAAGTGCGGGGTTCACAACAGGCCTCCACAACGGCCTCAAAAGAGAGCACAGGCAATTGCATGAGAAACATGGATGATGTCATCGTACTGGGATTCGTGGAATTCGTCGTGGAAAGCTGTCAGAAATCAGCCGAATCTCTCCTAGATTTTGGCAGACCGTTGGAACCCTACTGTGGAAACGGGTTCAGTGTATGCCGGGACTTCGGACAGTAGCCGTGGTGTCGCTGTGATGTTGCAAGTGCCGCACGCAGGCTTCGAGGTTGGAGATGACAAGGCGGTGCCACGCCATAGCTCATGACTCACGACATAGGTGACAACCATCACCCGTCACATTTCTTCTTCTGGCGATGCGACCATTGCCAGCCCTATTCAGCGGCACAAAAAGAATACAGTATCTTCTACTCTGGACGACACGAAGAACTCAACAACGGGGCGGCAATGTAATCCTGGCGTGTGGGCGCTTGCATGGCATCGTCGGCTGGCGTGAAGGATGGCCAGGTGCACAAAAGGTAGTTCCATACACTCGACGCCCTTTGAGTTGGGACTGGTCAGGACCTGGCGACGTTTCGGAGACAGGTCTTCACGCATCACGCTTCAGTCGAGGCCAGCACTCTCCGGGGCACTTGGCAGGTGTGACGGCGTCTTGTTGCAGATGAGTCGCACGGGATCTGACGATCACCAGGCATGTCAAGGCCCTGTCAATAAAGGTGATCCTTCGTCATGTGACTTTTTTCGACTTTGAACCGCAGTGGTCTGGTCTGACCTACTCGCGAGCTAGTTACACGGTGTATTACCGCGGCCACTCAAGGTAGCAACTAAGTACAACGACTATGCAAAAACTTGGGTCCTTGCCCGTAGGAGCCGAAGCTCAC